GAAGTAGAATAAGATTTGTAATTACAAAACAAAAATTATTAAAAATCTTGGCTAGGTTTAAGTGCAGTCTTTGCTTCCCAAGATTTATTATTCTCTAACCATGATAGTAGTGATGGATCCACAACAATGTGCATATATTTAATGCCACTAAATTGTACATTTACAAACAGTTAAAATGGTAACTTTTATGTTATGTATATTTAACCACAATAAAAATTTCAAGAGATAGAATACTAATTTTATTGACATAAAAGGTTGTGTTTAACACTTTAAAAAATAATGATTAACTTTTTTGAAAGAGGTATTCTTTTTTAATTATGAGTCTTCTTTTTAACCCTTTCACATTAAAATTATTTTTCCTTGGACTTCTTGTACTTTTCTATATATTTTTAAAATGTGGAAATCTGCAATTGATACAATACCAGGAAACAATGGGAGAAAACTTTAGCCTTCAAAATACAAAATACAATTTGCCACAAAACAAACCTCAACAAACTTAAAAGAATTGAAATCATGACCGTAATGGGAACAAACTAGAAACCCATAACAAGAAGGCAAGACGAAAATCTTCAGACATAAGGAATTAGACAGCGTTATGTAATCCTCCGTTAAAAATGAAGGGTCAGCCCGGCCAGCAACAACCTAGGAACCAGGAGAGCACAGTTCGATCCCCAGTCAGGTCACATGCTGGGCTTGCGGGCTCGATCCCCAGTAGGGGCCATGAGGGAAGCAGCTGATAATGACTCTCTTTCACTCTCCCTTCCTCTCTGAAATCAATAAAAACATATAATATTTTTAAATGAAGGGTCAATAGAAATAATAAACTACATTGGATTGAATAAAAATGAAAAAATAATATATCAAAATCTGTGAGACAGAACTAAAGCAAGGCTGAGGGGGAAATTTATATGATTAATTATTTTAATTTCTAATATAATTACTCATAATAGAAAATAAGAAGGGTCTAAATCTAAATCTTAGCTAAAGAAAATAGAAAAAGGAGAGCAAAACAATTTGGAGCAAGCAGAAGAGAGGCTAATAGCATAAACAGAATCATAAAAATAGGAGCAGAAATCAATACAATTGAAAAGAGAAAAGCAGTACATAAAATCAGTGAAAAAAATTTGGGTCTCTTAAAAATTAAAATAAAATTGATAAACCTTTAGCAAAGCTGACAAAGACACATAAAAAGAAGACACACATCATCATCATCTGAAATTAAACAGGGTTAACACTACAGATCTTGTAGCCATTAGAAATATATATATAGCAATGTTGTAAACAATTTTACACCTATAAATTCAACAACTTAGAAGAAATCAATGAATTCCTCAAAACTACAAACTACTAACACTAAACCAAGATGAAATAGGCAACCTAGATAGTTTTTATAACCATCAAATAAATTGAATTTTCAATTTCAGATCTCCTGGGAAATAAACTCCAGGTCCAGATCATTTTACCATAGAATTCTACCAGATATACAAAGAATTAACACAAACATGACACAAGAGCATTCAGAAAATAAAAGGACATACTTCTTACCTCATTTTAGGAAGCTTGTATTATTCTGACACCAAAACCAGAAGAAAAACAGTACAAATAAAGAAAACTACAGACTGATACCTCTCATAAACTTACATATAAAATTCCTCCAAAAAACAAAAATTAGTCAATGTAATTACCAATCATGGGCTTAAAAAGCAAAACCCTGTGATTGTAAAATTGATGCAGAAAAATATTCAATAAGCTCAGCAAACTAGAAGTAGAAGGCAGTGTCTTAAACTTGACAAAGAACCATCTACATAAAACTTGCAGCTAATAGTGTATTTAATGATCAAAGACTGATTATATTCACCATAAATAAGACTGGTAACATGGAAATATCTATCTTATTTAAAACAACACTGGAAGGTCTGGACATGTTTAAAAAAAGGCAAGAGAAATAAATAGGAAGTAAACATACTGGAAAGGTAAAAATAAAGCTCTCTATTTTTCAGATGGTATGATTTTCTACATAAAAATCCTCCAAAATCTTCAAAAAACAAACAAAACAAAAAACTCCTAGAACAAATAAGTTCAGCAATATTTGAGGACACAAGACAAACACACACAAACGAATCACTCATTTTGCTAGCAAGAATATAAAATGGATCAATGACTCTGAAAATATTTGGCAGTTTTTTTATAAAACTAAACATACAACAACTATCCTTCTCAGCAATTGCACTCTTGAGTCTTTATCTCAGAGACATAAAAATTTATGTCTGCACAAAAACCTGTACATAAATGTTTATAACATTCATTTGTAATGACCAAAAGACTGAAAAGAGCCCAAATATACTTCAACCAATGAGTGGTTAAACACTCTTAGGTACATCCATACCATGGACTAGTGGTCAACAATAAAAAGAAAAACTCTGATATCTTCATCAACTTAAAAACACTCCAAGGAATTATGCCAAGTGAAAAAAGCCAATCCCAAATGGCTACATACCATATAATTCCATTTATATGACATTCTCAAAATTAGAAAGTTATAGAAATGGAGAACAGGTAGGTGATTACCTGAGGAGGGAGAATGGGAAGTGAGTATGATTGTAAACAGACAACACAAAGGATCTCTGATAAAAAATGTTCTGTACCTTGAATGCATCAGTGTCAATGTCAGTATCCTGGTTGTGATATTGCACTATAGTTTAAAATGTGTTACCATTGAGATTACTGGATATTGATACATGGAATCCCTCAGAATTATTTTTTACAAATGCATATGAATCTATATCTCAAAATCAGAAGTTTAATTAAAAAATAAAGTATTATTTGTTCCTAAATCTCTAATTTAAAAATATAAGAATATTTCCAGCCAAGTAAAATAAAATTTCAATTAGCTTAGACCCAAGTAACCAGTACCTTCTCTCCTCTTTATGCCCCAGAGCAAACCATGTGTCATGTGGATATTTGTTTATAGCACACACATTAGTTTTTACTATTAAAACTGAACATATACTATGTCACAATAATTTTTACCTTTTTCAATGTACTGAACAGAAATGTCTACATAGTTTTACCAACAATCATAAACAGATTGTTAAAAAAAAAAAAAAACAACCAGGAATAATAGCCAAAATGAAAATAATCCAAATGTTCATCAACAGTAGCAGAATAAGTAGATAATAGTATATTTAAATAATGGAGAACTATATAGCCTTGGGAATAAACAACTATTGCTACGCCCAAAAGCATCGATTAATTTCACAAATATACTTTTGAACTGATCATAGTTTCAAAAGAATGCATATAGTAAGATTACCTCTATATTAAGTAAAAAAAGAAGAGAAAGTTGTCTATGGTGTTAGTAGCATACGTAGTGGCTACCGAGGAAGGGTCAGTGTCTGGGAGCAGATGCGACTTCCTGGGGAGTAGCAGTGTCCTAGTGCCTGGCCTAGAAGCTAATTACTTGAGTATATTCACTTTGTGAAAATACATTCAAGGGTACACATCTGTTTATGTATGTGATATGATTGTAAGAAGTGTACTTTAAACAAAGGGCCAGCCCTAGCTAGTTTGCTCAGTGGTTAGAGAATCCACCCTGGGACTGAAGGGTCTCAGGTTCAGTTCTCAGTCAAGGGCATGCACTTGGGTTGCCGGCTCCATCCCCAGCCCCATCTGGGGTGCACGCATACGGGAGGCAACCAATCAATGTGTCTCTCACACACGTTTCTCTCTCTGTCCCTCCCCATCCTTTGCACTCTCTGTAAAAAAATAAAAATAAATAAAAAATCAATGGAAAATATAGCCTCAGGTGAGAATTAACAACAACAAAAAAGGCCAGCCCTGCTCTATGGTTAGTATATATGCAGCTCAGATTTTTTGTTTTCTACTAATTGTATAAATGAAAAAAACTAAATGGGCTGATGGTAGTAGAACAGCAAAAATCCAAATCACTGAACACAATAACCACAGAAACAATAATGGCACATCTTTCAGGAAAATTCAAAACAAGAACTGAAGCAAAATATCTATCCCTTTAATTCAATTAAAGGGAAGTTTTTGAATGTCTCACTTAACAAAATTTCATTACTTTATTAAAAAACAAAACAAAAAAACCCCCACAATAATATTACAGTGAATACGTATCCATTTTTATACGCTTAAACTCCCAGCTAGGTATGTGCACTTAGTTTTATTTTATAGTCCTGTTTTTAAACTTTCCATTGTAGTATTGTTTGCTTTTTTCCCCCCCTTTTCTTCTGGAAAAAGACACACATGCCTCTTTGATATTAAATTGTACTCTTACTAAAATTTGATCTTGTAAAGAAATTCACACTATACCGTTCATCTGTGAATAAAATAGCTGCAGCCGAAATTCTTTATCCAGGTCACGGGCAGAGATTTTAGGTAATATTAGCCTCGGGACACGTTGCTACCTGTGGTGACTGTAATTGGAGAGTGCAGCTGTGGACTATGAGGCAGTCCTTTTCGCTCTAATCCTTTCCACATGGCATTCACACAAGACTTCTTTAGTTTTCAGAGGCAGCCACCCTATGCCCAAACTCTTGCGGTCTGTGATTCTCTCTTACAAGTCTGCTTCGTCCTGGCTGCCTTTGATCAAAAAAACTTCCCACTTTCCGAATGCCTCGGGCAAGGTGGGCCTGACAACCACAGTTGTTTTCATAACACTTCTCAACTCTCCTCTCCTTCTTTTGAAGCTGTAACTCATTGTGCCCGGGAAGTACAGTATTTTTGTCTGCCCTCTCTTTTGGGCCCTCTCCTATTTGCCCTAGCCACACAGCTGGTGTAGTGTCGCAGGTGGCATCCTGAAGAGTGTTAGTATTATTTTCAGTCATTTCCATACTTCAGAGGCCGGAGTGGCTTATCCAGTGGGACACATTGGGAGGCGCTGCAGGAGCAGAGTGAAGCCTTAGGAAAGGATGACTCGGTTTTGTGCATCTACCTTCTTCATTGTGCGTTAGACATTTGAAAGTTTTAACGGCTGCTCCAAAAGAGGCTTCTCAAAAGGAAACCAGCATTTTGTCATGACCGGAAGGTAAGTTTCTTCTGTCTTCGCAGCTACAGCCGAATCTATACGTGATGAGACTGGTTCCAAGGAGAATGTTGTATTTAACATGTGCTGAGCATTCACAGTGTACACGGCACTATTTCTATCACTTCATCTACATTGTCTCATTTAATCCTATGATAAAACTTTGAATTATAAAATCTTAATATGCCCATTCTAGAGAGATGAAAACTGAGGCAAAAAGAAGTTTAGTAAGATGCCCCAAAACATACAACATGTAACTTTTGGAATGGGATTCCTGTGCTGACAAACTTGACTCTAGAGTCTGAGTGCTTGGGCTGAAGGTGTCTCTGGGTGATGAAAGAGAAGTGAAGTGTACAAATGCTTTGAGTGCTATGCTCCTGAAATAATGTGGAAATACTAATGAAATGCTGGGGGAAATCTGCCTCATTCTATTAGTTTCCTAAAGCTGCCATAACAAAGTACCACAAACTAATTTGTCCAAGATCCCAGCATTAGTATGTGAAGCCAGAGTCAAAACCCAGGTGGTCTTACTCCAAAGCCTGTGTCTTAGTTTCCTGTGGCTGCTGTAACAAATCACCACAAACCGAGTGGCTTAAAACAACAGAAATTTATGTCTCACAGTTTTGAAAACTACAAATTTAAAACCACAATGTCAACAGAGCCATATTCCTCTGAAACCTATAATGTATTTCTTGCTCGTCTCTTCCTGGTTTCTGGTGGTGGTATTCCATCAATCTTTGACAACTGCATAACTTTAATCTGTGTCTTTGTCATCACATAGCATTCTCTGTGTGTGTGTCTGTTCTCACATGGCTGTCTTTTTTAAAAAAAAAAAAATGTTTTGTTTGCTTTTTATTGATTTCAGAGAGAGGAAGGGAAGAAGAGAGAGACAGAAACATCAATGATGAGAGAGAGTCATTGATCAGCTGCCTCCTGCACGCCCCCCCACTGGGGATCAAGCCTATAACCCTGGCATGTGCCCCTACTGGGCATCAAACCTCAATCTCCTGTATCATAAGCCAATGCTCAACTGCTGAGGCACATCGGCCAGGCATGTCTGTCTTTTTTATTAGCACACTGATCATATGGGATTAGGGACCTGCCTTACTCCAGTATGTTCTCACGTCCACTGATTATATTATCGGTGGGGTGTCCTCCATGTTCCCACCTGTTACTGGTAGAGGTGGAGCTCTTGGGGTGCTGAGGGAAAAGAATTTCCTGAGGCCCCCACGGGATGATGAAGTATTGTGGAAAAAGTTCTAGTTTGTCTTCAGCAGACCTAGGATTAAAGCCACTGTCCAGAGTCCTCACTCCATATTAAAGCCCAGTCCAGTCCAGCATCTAATCTGGCCAGGTTACCTTGTGTTCCCAGCTGCAGTTCATTGCATGTGGCTTCTAGGACCACAAGACTATGGAAGTGTACAGGCAAGTGCGGGTCACAGAGCAAGCAACAGGAGCTCAAGCAGCAAGAGAGAGAGAGAATTCTTTGTCTCTGGGGATTTTCACTAGGAGCTTAACCAATGAGCCCGTCATGATTTCATACATTTGCAGTGCCTCTTCCCACTCTAGACAACCACCTTTTTCCCAGGTTGGACTGACAGGCAAGCACCTTCCCTACATCACCCTGACTTCACTGCGCATGCATCCATCTTCCCCTTTGTGGGACCCCTACCCCCAGAGATTTGCCAGGAATGGGCTGGTGCTTTCCTGGGGAGTGTGAAATTGCAGCTTCCCAGTGAAGCTGCCCAGATGACCATGCTTATAATATCTGACCTTCCCTTTGCTTTCTTCCTATTACTAATATTAATAACTAGCTAGTTACAATGGTAAAAATTATGTCTTCAATGACTCTATGTCCAAATAAGATCACATTCTGAAGTAGTGGTGGTTAGGACGTCAACATTTCTTTTCTCTTTTGGAGGGTATACAGTGCAACCCCAAAATCTCCTTCATTCTCTCATAGTCCAGAATTAAAATTTGTTAAGATATATTACTCTCTGCCTTCTTACTGCATATCTGTCCACATATATTATCTGATTATTATAGTACAAGATTTTAGCAGGGTTAATATATACCACATCTTACATTTTGTTACCCCTTACCTATTTTTTAATAGTCTATCACATAAACTTGTACAAGTAATATAATTTTAAATGAGTAGATGAAAAATTTTGATGCATGCCTGTATCAGGTATATATTGCTGCATAACAAATTATTCCCAAATTGAGTAGCTTAAAACAACACACATTTATTGTCTCACAGTTTCTCTGGATAATAAATCAAAATGAGTGTAAATTAGGTCATATCTTTCTTCAATATAATTTTATTTTGCACAAACAATAGTTACCATTTATAAATATGAGCTTCAATAAATTTATTTAAGATTTTAAAGAGAGATAAAACAGTGATCTATTTGGTAGCAATGTAAGGAGCACACCATGGGCTCAATCATACATAGATTTCATTTAGTTTGCAATTGTTATGAGAAAAGCCCTATACCAGACGTTGTAAGGATATCAAATAAGTAAAACATTGTCCTTGTCTTATAGGATTTTACATTCTCATAGCAAGAACGCATAATTTGAAAAGTAAAGAAAAAACTAAAATAACAAATAAGTGTTGAATTAACTACCAAATCCATCTACTAACTATTCTAGTTCAGTTAGTCAAATAGGGTTTCCATTCAAGAAAATAGTTTTCAATTGTAGAAGATAAATCATTTAAATGCCTGAACATCAAAGACTCTTGAATAGCTTTAACTATTAGACCATGTCTAAATACTTGTGTCATTTCATATTAATATTATATGATAGATGCATAACAATATTAAAGAAAACTGAAAGCAACTACACAGGATATCATGTCTTATCATATGTATCTTTATATGTTAATATTCTTACTGAAAGCTACTTAACTAAACATATATGTATAGATAAAGGGAAAGAAAAATTTATATTCCTGACACCTTTTATTTTTTCCTAACCTTAATCCTTTCCATCCCTCTTCACTTTTCTAATTTTGGGATTAGAATTAATGCAAACAGTTTCTAGATTTCCCAGTGTAGAGTCATTCAGCACATAATTTGAGCACCAGGAGGTTGTCAGTTCAATTCCCAGTTGATGTTTCTATCTCTCCCTCTCCCTTCCTCTCTCTCTAAAAATCAATAAAAATATATTTTAAAGAAGAATTATTTAATTTATCTTATCCTATGAAGTAGATACTATTAGTTTATAGATGAGAAAACAGGTTTAGATAGACCTAAAACCTTTTCTAGTTTCACATAAGTCATTATAAGCTGTAGTGATAAAATGGAAACCTTACACAGTTGAAGTTATTATCTGCACTGTTAAGTAGTATGTTTTGCAAAATAGGATGTAGGTATTCACAGTGATCAATATGACAAGTTTCCAGGTACACAGATGCACACATCTATTTGGCCTGTACAAAGAATTGAACTGCAGGATAGACATCAGGTGGAATACTATAGTGAGTTTATATAACAACAGAAACCAGAAAAAGAAATAACTAACTGTACAAAGATTGTTGGCACCTAAAATAGGAATCTATAACATTTGAGTTTGTGTAGTTCCACATTCTCTTTATTTGCTCCTGACTTCACGTTTTTTGTTTAACTTTATGCTATTTGATTATTATAGGATGAAGTTATGGAAAATTACTATTATAAATTTGCCAAGTGCTATAACATTTAAAACACAAAAACAAACCAAAAAAGTATAAATAGATTGTCCAATGATTTATAAAAAGACATAGCTCATCAAACAGTCATGTATGGAAAAGTTGACTTTTTTCCCAAATCCCTTTAAAACACATGTAAAAGAAAATGAAAGCAAGGTTTAAAAATTTGTTGACTAATATTCTAATAATAAAATAATTCATAGTCAATTATAGATTCTTGATGATCCCTAAAGAAAATTAAGTTATATACATATTTTAGAAATAATATATTACCACTTATTCTTTATATGATTTGTTAATTAATTAACACACAGAAAGAAGATAAAAATTCCACTATTCAGTAATAAATGTATTTAGTAATACATATTGTATTCCATTGAATTATATATATTCATTTCAATACACCAAAATCATATATATG